TAACAAATAATATGTAGCAAATTTTTTTACTGACAAAAGAATTTTTTCCCCGATCATCTGTCTATAGTTTATATTTTAACGAGTCGCCCTTGACATTTTCGCGTCGACAACCTGTCCTGAGATTAAATGGCATTTTAAATACAACATCGTCGTGATCGACTATCTACTATATAACAGTCATCTCGCCAAATTATAACGAAACACCTGAATAATGATCATGATTCGATAATAAAATACGACAAGCTTTGAAATACCCAGATCACGACGATGAGTAACCGACATAAAAAAATAAAAATCAAAAAAGAGCTTGCAAAATTTCAATTTTATCGTTTGGTGATTTTTTGATTCATCACTTGAATTTCTGGAATTTTATGATTTGTTTTAATAATGCACCAAGGTGTGTCGTGTTGATTTTTATTTGATGACTCTCTTGAAAAGTTGACAAAGTGTGAAATCATGTTGGAATGCAGTTCATACTTAATCTAATTACCACATTTAAATTTGTTATATTGATCGGTTTTGGGGTAATAAAATTAATATAAATGAGCAATAAAATCACAACAACCTCTGAATTGGTCGGAGAAGCTATAAATTTCCATTGCCAACATTTTTTTGTTTTAAAAAACGAATTCTATTAAAGGATATACAACACATTCTCCGAGAATGAATCGACCTCCAACGGAGAGTACCTTTACGTATTGAGATGATCCCGGACTCGAATGATAATTGATAACCTAATGCATTTGCAAAAAGGTATGCAGAATGCATATAAGTGTCGCAGAATGCATATAAGTGTTGCAGAATAAGCGATTTTAAATCGGAGATAAATAAATAATCAATAAATAGAAATTGGAATTCATAGGATAGAAAGCCCACGCGCAGAATCTGGGAAAATAGTATAAAATGTATGAGAAGAAATACAATCGATACATAGAACTAAGTTGGAAAATTACATAAATTTGTGGATAATTTAAAATCCATTAATTTATATGTATATATATATATATATTTATATTTAAATTTAAACAAAATACATAATTTGTATTATTATAAACAAATGTGTTTTTTATTTTTGGAGTTTTTGGACTTGAAGTTTAGAGTTTAATGACTTAAGACTTACACGAGTATAATTAAATGATTTTTCGGCAAAGTGTATACAAGATTTTTATATATGGTACAAACTATTAAAATTGAGTCTATAAAGCAGATACAGCCTAAATAACAAAATACTAAAAATTCAAGGATAATTTTGTGACTATTTAAATATTTAATTTACATCATTTATATCTATTTTATAGATATTAGTGAAATTTTTAATACAGATAATTCAAATAGCCGATGAAAATATAAATTAACAAAAATAAAATAAAATATTTACTAGTGGTGCATGACATCGTGCCTTAAAGCAATTTTCTGGAACTTTCCATATCATTTTCTAACATTCTTAAAAGCTCAGACAATAAAAACTAGATTTTTTTTTAAGAATATAGAATTTTTTTGAAAACATTTGAAAAATTGTATTATTGTAAAAATGCTTTTTTTCAAAAATACTGATATATTTTGAATCTTAGAAACTCTTTGAAAACTTTTTTTTTTGAAAATTGAAGTGTAAAAAATTTTGTTTTTGAAAATTAGAAGAAAAATTAGTTTTTTTTGTGAATTTTGAATTTCTTTAAAAAATTTGATTATTGAAATAACTTTTTTTGAAAATACTGATATATTTTAAAAACTTTCTGAAACTTGAAATTTTTTTAAAAAATGTTTTTTTTTTATTTTTTTTTTTTTGAAAATTATGTAATTTCTTGATCGTTTTTGATACCTAATTCATGTTGATTGATCCAGATATTCAAAATATTAGATTTTCAACCAGCAAATATAAGTTTTTACAATTTTGTTGTATCTCCAAAACCGCTGGACCTGTCTGTTCTAAAAATTGATGCATTCTTCATCAGGTCATAACAAGTTAAAAGTTTTTTATACATTTAAATCAGATTGTCTGTTTTTTTTTAAATAAAAATTCCATTTTCTGCAATCTTTGCTATGTATCTCTAAAATGGCTGGACCTGCCTTTGCCAAAAACTAATCAGCACGCCTTCTTATCAATAGAACTCGAATGCTAATTTAATAATTCAAATCGGTTCAGCGGTGCTCCCGAAAGCATCCGTACATACATACATACACACATCAATTTTTTTCTAAGGTATGCCAAAATGTTCAGAAATCTCTGAAACGTAAAGATATGCAAAAAAAAATATTTTTGATTTTTGGCCGATTACTATAACTTTTACAATACGCAAATTTTCATTTATGCAATAAAAATGCAAAATTTCACTTTTTGTTACCGCGAAGTCGCGGGTACAGCTCGTATATAAGGTTTTGACATATATCACAAAACATAAAAAATATTTAAATTACCAATAAAATAACTAAAATAAATAAATAAAACTCTGTAATATTCATTATAAATCTCATAATAGCCCACCAACCGTCGTCGTCATATATGCAAATGAGCGGAGGCTGCCTATTTATAGCATCATCTTCAACACATTTCATATGCCCATAAGTCCATTCTTTGACTTTATAATCATGTATTCGTCCGCTTGTCACTTTAATCCCTTCTAATACGACAGTCGTAGAAGTCTTCAGATTTTAATCGGTTATTTATTTATTTCTTCGATTTTTATTCAAGAAAAAGGACGGTGATTTGCACACACGACTCGACCTGGGTAGGGTGACAATAATTGCAACGCGGGCAAAGGCCTCACACGAATCGGAACAGGGGTATAAAAATTGTTAGAAAATAATTAAATTTGATTATTTATATTAATTATCAAGAGATGCGATTCAATTTTAACTTTCAAACTTCCATTTCTGGCATAATCTATATAATGGATTGATTGCCAATTTTCGTTATCAATTCTGTAGTAGGTATGTATCACTCGATAGAAATGTATGTAAGTTTTCTCTATAAATCTAGGCGTGAATTAAATGTCTAGAAGGCATTTGACTTTTGACGTGCTGCCGATACTCCGGAGTTATTCCGGAGTTTCTTTGAAATGCCGCGACCGGAGAAACAGGGCGACTACCAAGTGCCAATCAATGGGAAAAATTGACTTGAAAATTGAGTGGAATGAAAAATATATTTGATGATATTTTTAAAATTTGGTTGCTCAAGTCGTACCGCAGCCTAAGTCGCACCTCGGCTGTATTTTCTTGTAAATATTTATATTATCATTCTTATATGACAATTGTTTAGGTCTAATTAAATTGTAGAATTTGTTCAGGTTTTGTTGTAATTTTAATATCAAATATCTAAGACAATTGAGCTTAAGTCATATTTGTGTAAAATTTCTTGTCTGCATCATTAATATAGAGGTTATTTTTTACAAATACGAAGAAATAATTTGAATACAATATTGCAAATTAGAAAACATTTAGTGGAGGCAACAAGTAACGACTATTACTTCATGAAAAGTTCTATATCCGTTTGTTACTTTTTGAAATTATTTTTTATTAAAGGTATTTGTTTTTTTTTAATGTTGTTTTGATTGAATATTACTTTACTTTTTGAAGGACCAATTGTAAAATACTTTATTGATAACTGTATATATTTATTTTATAAGTTATAATAGTATTTACAATAATTTTAATCTGTTTTTGATTTACGTATTGATTGATTTGATTTTGGTTTGATTATTTTCGATTGTATATCATACAAATTTGATTTTTTTTGTTTGTATATCAATATAACTTGCATGCTTTGATTGGCGCGAACAGTATTAATTCACTAATTATGTTCAACTTTAAAACTATTAACTATAAAAAAGTTGATCTTAGACTAAATTTTACTCTACATAGTTATTTAGCAGGTACGACTAGGGCGTTAATTAAAAACTAATTTAAAAAGATAAAAAAGCAACTCACAAAAGTTATTATTTTTACTTAAAGAAGTCCACTACCAAGGTATTGAAAAGCTTATTATGATTTTTTTTTTCAACAGTTACAATTATTATTTGCTTTTTCCATACTTTCTCTAATTTTCATTCCAAATTATTTTAACATTGTCCTACACTAAGTTTCTTATCGTTACAATATTTTCATACTATATTTGTTTTGATACTGCACTTAATTATTATTTTCAGATTTTTGTCTTAAATGAAAATTGCGCAGGGATATTTAAACGATTTTTTATCATCAGCAGAATCTCAAGATCTACAAGCCCTAATTAAACTATCTCAAGATCATAACATTTTTTTCAAGTTATTGTATTATATAATACTAATATTAGGCTTAATATTGCTTTAGTGTTGTATTTTACTGTAAGTTAATTCAATTAAAAAAATTATTTACTGTAATTATTAAATTTAATCCTGTATCCAATATATAAATATGAATAATTATCAAATTTACACCCTCTAAAAAATGCATAAAAAGTGCAATGTATACATTTATATATTATACATTTTTATACGACAATTAATTTCTTGGTTTTATAAAAATTGTATGTTTTACCAATATGTGAGCAGGCGATTTCTTGACATTTTCATTTATCAAGGTATTAATTTTGTAATTATTATATTTATTGCTAATAATGTGAAAATAAATGCACAAAAAATGCGTTATATATATTTATTTCCGTTATTACTTTCTTAATCCATGTTTAGTAAAACTTGTATTGTTCGAATGCTATGCAGGTGATTTAATTACACATTTATTTATTAAGGTACGATTTTTGTGATTACGCCATCAAATAAAAATTTAAGATTATATTCTGGGTATTTCGGTAATAAGATATCGTATTACTTATCATTTTGATCCGCAAAGAAAAATATCAAATAACAAATTCTAAGCCGGATCGAATTCCAAGATATTGCGTTAAGATAGTACCATTTTTTTCGTATTTAGCGCATAATTTACACGGAATTTTTAAGAATTTATTTCCTAAAATAATTATGCAAATATTTAATGCTAATAAAAAATTAAAAAGACAATAATCCTACCTTCCTCCATATATATCCTGAGTTAATGGTGTATTTTCATCGTCCGAAATATTATCGTCGCTGCCTCCTGCATTTCGCAACCCCGCACTCGCCATAATTTCTAAAAAAAAAAGGAAAAAAAAATAGTATATAAAAACTAACATATTTTTACATCTAATAGTATAATTTACTAGTTTCTAATTATAGCCGCGTGTTCTAGAAAAATAGCATAAGCGTTGCAAATTTCAATACTCTTATTTAAACAACTATTGAGAATAAAACACTAGAATTTTTAATTTTTTTTTATAACTACAAAAATGTAAAAATAGCTTTCATACATGTTTAAATACAAAAAATAGGCCTTTAAGCAATAGGTATAATATTATTACACTAAAAACGAATATATCAAAATAGATGATTTGCACTTGTCTGATGTCTGATATTTCTGAAGCATTTTTCTTCGATATTGCAATAAATTGCATCGGCTATTCTACATAATTATCAATAGTGCGTGACAAATTTTAAATATTATAATGACAACATTGCCATAACTATATTTAGAATAATAGTTCAAACAAAATTTCAAAGTTTAGTTCTAACAACCATAAATAATAATCCATGACAAATCAAAGCCAATACGTTTTTTGCTATAAGAATAAAATCAAGGATTAAATTCTGACATTAACTATTATAGAAACTAATACTTTTATTATAACTTTTGGCAAAAATCAGTTAATAATTGTCATCATCCGTTAGAAGCCATTAAGTTCTTTACACTTAAGGCCATTAAACTAAATTTTGAAACAATTTAACTGCACAATTAATATTTCTCTTAACATTCACTTAATCCCGCAGGATAATATGATAGATTATTATTTTGAAAATGATTTTTACTAGAATTTCTGTTATTACTTTTGGTGAAAATCAGTTAATCAATGTCATCAACCATTAGAAATCATTATGTTCTTTACACTTAAGGCTATTAAATTAAATTTTAAAGCAATTTAACTGCCCAATTAAGATTTCTCTCAACATTCACTAAATCGCGCAGGCTTATATACTTAAAAATGATTGATGTGCGAAAATATATGTATGTAACTTATATAATAGATAATTGATAATTTGTCTGAAAGGCATAAATCAATATCTGTAATTACTTTGGTAATAGATATTTTTAAAAACATTTTTTGATCATAAATACTTAAGTCATTTAGATTTTCATTTACAGTTTTATGGCTCATGATTGACTTTAGTTTTATATGTCATATAAAAGTGAAATATATAATCGACTGTCTGATACATTATTACATAACGTTTTCGTGAAATCGAGGAAGTCTGGAGATATTTCGCTTTTGTATACTCGTTTTTTTTTTCACTGTCGTTCACGAACCGTGCGACTTGTTTCATTATCGAGTCGGCGGACGCATTTTGTGCCCAAAAATAGACGGAAAGCGAAAGTTTAAAGAAATATTTTAGGTTAAATAGATAATAAATCCACATATAAATGTAATTAATATTCACAAAATTTTCTAACTTCAAACCATTTTTTGTAGTAAAGTACGAAAGCAGGAGCTTTTTGCAATATGGGTAAGTAGTAGCAGACGTATCTCAATAGGATCTTTATTAATATTAAAATATTATTTTGTCATAATTTAACATGTAAACCCTGTTTCTCGGTAGTATGTTAATATAGCTACTTTCCCACAGACAGGACGCAGTAAACAGAAGTGTGCAGGTACGTCATTTTTAACAAGTAATATAAATTACTCTACGATAAAATTTATAGTAGTTTGTAACTCTAGAGTAGTATGGTATTGTAAATTATGAAATTTGTCGAGTATTATGATATTCGATATGATTAAATGTTAGAAATTTTTTTTACTAGGGTTTGGCTATATATATATATATATATATATATATATATATTTCTTTGTTTTTGTGATGTATTATTAATTAAAGTACTTGAATTCTTTGTATTTGTATACCCTTCCCCATATGTGTCTACGTATATGATGAATGTCTGTAATGTTTTTTACTGTATCGGCACGTCGATTTGTTTATTTTTTTTTCACAATGAGTTTTTTCTATGGCAAGTTCTTCTTCGAAGACAACCTGCTTCGAAGACAAAGACAATTGTTGTAACTTTGTAAACGCATTCTTTTACTGAGAGGGCCTTGCGAACAAATGACGATTGTTTTCAATACGACGATGGATAAAAAACAGATAAAACAAAATAATATTTTAGGACAAGTAGTAAGAAATAATTTAATAAGAGTTACAAGATACTTGTCAATAATTTTTATAATTAGGCCAATTTTCATAGGCATATTATATATATTAAAAGCTTTGTTTTGTTTGACCATCATCCTCAATAGCATTAGAGAGTAAAATATTCATTAGATTAAAAAATCGGTTATAACTTTTGAACAAATTGATTTATATAAATGACATATTGAAAAAATTTGTTTAGAATTGAACAGTGAATAATATTTGCTGATAATGTGATACCCTAGAACAACTTGTTATATGTATAAAACGACATAGAAAATTAGTTTCAGAAATAACGCTATAGAAAACACTAGCAGAATGCATTATTTTGAAAAAAATTGTTTTCAATACGACGATGGATAAAAAAATAATTAGGAAAAAATAGTAAAAAATATTAAAAACTAAATAAAAGTAAAGAAATACTTGCCAATAATTTTTATAATTAAACCTATTATCATGCAAAGTTTAATCAAATTATTGAAACTTTCGAAAGTAAAATATGCATTAGTTTGAAAAATCGTTTATAACTTTTGAACAAATTGATTTATATAAATAACATATTAAAGAAATTTGTTTAGAATTGAATAGTGAATAATACTTGCTAATAGTGTGATACCCTAGGACAACTTTAAATATTTATAAAATGGCATAGAAAATCAGTTTCAGAAATAACACGATTAGAAAATACTTTCAGAATAAATAAATATGTGTTCATGCATTATTTTTAAAAAATTGAATGATTCGAATTATATAAATAGCTTACAGAGTAGAAAGCTTTAAAATAATATAAAATAAGTATTAAACTATTTTTTACGATTTTTATACAGCTCTACTGTGATTACTTTATATTTAGTTCAAGCTTCGATTTTTTTACAATCACTATACAAAATTTTCACATTTCTAAATTATATTATATTGAATATACTGTTTTTAATTAAGTTCTTAATTATTTTACTACATGATTTAGTGTGATTTTTTTAATTATTTTACAACACAGAGAAATTTCATTCCACTTTCCAAAAATACATTTATATCAATTTCTGAAGATTTTGCATAAATTTTAATTGTATGCAATCTACAAAGAAATCATTTTATTTTTAAATTATTGTAAAAAACTTTCATATTTATGATATACCTAATATTAACATTATAATAAGACTTATACGTATTTTCTAGTAATTTTGTAGTAATTACATCTATTATCGAATGTGATGGTATTTTTTATACCTTTCTAAAAGTCTCTTCTGTATATAATAATGTATCATTAAAGTTTTTGCTTGTAATTGGAGATAATTATTTGAATTAGAGGAATTGATTGAATTTAATAGGTAATTATCTAAGAACTTAAAAAATAAAAAAATGTAATTGTTTCGGGAACATGCCCTACCAAAAATAAAAAATAGTCAAATTTCTAGAACTTTTTTAAGATCTCTAAGAAATTTAGGGGGTGTAATTGAATATCATGTTTTTGATAGAAAATAGAGAAAATTCAAATTTACAGTTTTGCAATGGTATTTCAAGGTAATGATATATTTGATTATTAATTTTTTATTATTTTTTAATTTTTATTAAATCCTCTCCCATTCCGTTGCAAAGAATGCGTCATCATCAAGTATTGTGTCATATGTAAATTTATAAATAAAACAGTAAGTATTTGCAATAATGCAAATACCACGACTTACCGTTTCTTATACCGTAATATTCATAATGACTTCATATTCTGTCATAAACAATTAAGATTCATTGTTTATGTCTTTATAATAAAGAAAAAGTGTTATGCAATTTTCGAGTTCAGAGCCCTCCTGTATTTTTTTATCAATAATAAAGAAATTAGAAAAATTCAATAAAAATCAATATTTTTATGATCTATATTAATTTTTGAGTCTCGTCTCGGACAGCCTGATATGAAGCAGTAGTGACATCGATTTTAACTTGAAAATATAGATAATATTATGTGTAAATAAAAATACCCCTTCCTGAAATTGCTGAATAATAATTTTTTGGGTTTACAGAAATTGTAGTAATACAAATTTATTACATAATTATTGGTCAACCTTTTGGAATACCTTTCCTTATTTTCTTCATAATTGGCCAAAAGGCCAATCAAATTTAATTTCTCAGGTCATCTGACCCACAATATAAGTTGTTTATTACCATGTGTGGGATAAAATTGTAGTAAAACCAGTTATTATTAAACAATTTATAAATGTGTATATGAACATGCGAAGAAAGATTATTAATAATATGACACATACTGCTTACGCAATTACCGAGATTCTAATGAGAACATTCAAGTGTATTATTGTAATGTGACATTTAGGAATAAAACTGTTTGTGAGATAGAGAACTCTGTTTGAATTAAATCTAAATGTTAATTGGATTATTTATAAACATATGAATTTGTTGTTTATTCTACTTTTCTTATAAATGATTGCTTTTTGAGCCGCAGTAACATACTCATTATAGCTAAGACGACTTTCTGAATAAATTTATTTTTCACAAAAAAAAAATCATAAATCGAATTTAATTTTATTTCTGATATATATATATATATATATATATATATATATATATGTTCATTTTTTCTAAACCTATTTTATTCTCATTTTCTCCAAATGTTTTCATATAATTTCAGATCATCAAAATAGAAGATTTCTTTCTTCTGCGATTTCTTTTGTATCATAAAATAATTATTTTAGATATCAACATTTTTATAACGTTATTTTCAATTATTTGCGGTTTAAAGCGACTTACAATTTGTGGTATGAAAGTAGTTCTTGAATAAATATATACTAAGGCGAGCAAGTTTAATTATGAATCAAGTTTTTTTGCTTTTACTTTCATATGGAATGA